AGAGTTGGCCATTCAGATGAGTCTTGCGCTGGTAAAGATCTTTGGAGACTCCCAACTGATAATCAATCAAGTGGTTGGAGTCTACAAAGTACTTAAGCCTGAGCTCATTCCATATCATAATAAAGCAATGGAGCTCCTGAGCTTAATACCAGAAGTAACTTTGGCCAAGATTCCTAGATCTAAAAATGGAAAAGCATATGTATTGGCCAAGTTAGCAAAAGAATTAGCTGACCCTACTGGAAACTCAGTGTCTATTATTGTCTAGTATCATCAAGCTATGTGCCCCACGGACTTGTCTTCTCCTAATAAGACCCTTGCAATGTTTGCTGTGGATGAGGAGTCAGAATGGAGAGAGCCATTCATAGAGTATTTAAAGCATGGTAGGCTTCCAGATGATAAGTCTCTCGCTGCTCAAATTAGAAAGAGAGCCTTATCATTCGCCTATATAAATGAAACTCTGTATCGACGCTCTTTTGATCAAATGTGGTTAAGATGCCTCAGTAAAGAAGAGGCTAGTTGAGTCATGACTGAGATACATGAAGGGCTTTGTGGTGCCCATCAATTTGGACCAAAAATGAAAGGCATAATTAAACGCCTTGGCTACTACTGGCTAACTATGATCCATAATTATATGAAGCACGCTAAGAGATGCCACCAGTGCCAGATTCATGGCACGGAGATTCACCAACCCCCTAATCCATTGCACCCTACTATTTCTTCTTGGCCATTTGAGGGCTGGGGCATGGATGTGGTGGGTCATATAGACCCTCCTTCCTCCAAGGGTCATAGATTCATTTTAGTGCCACTGATTACTTCTCTAAGTGGGCAGAGGCTGTCCCACTTAAGGAAGTTAAATCAGAAGATGTGATGCGCTTCTTTCGTGATAACATTATTTATCGATTTGGTATTTCGCGCCATATAATCTCAGATAACGGCCCGTCCTTTAGAAGCACCAAAATTGCCAGATTCGCCCACCACCATAATATTAATTGGCGATACTCGTCAATTTACTACCCTAAAGCCAATGGCTTGGCAGAGGCATTTAATAAGACTCTTATGCAACTGATAAGGAAAATCCTTGTTTCAAGCAAAAGAGAATGGCATGATAGTTTACTTGAATCATTATGTGCATATAGGACTACCTACCGTACTCCTACCCAATCCACTCTATATGCTTTAGCTTTTGGGACTGAAGCAGTCCTCCCACTGGAGGTCGAGCTCCCCTCACTGCGTATAGCAGTTAGTTACAATATATCTGAGGAAGATAATGCCCGACATAGGTTGGAAGAGCTTGATGGTTTAGATGAGCTCCACTTACGAGCTTATCAATACCTTAAGCTATGCCAGGCCCGAATGATACGGCACTACGAGCGTCTTGTTAGACCTCGTGCTTTCCGGGTAGGCGAGTTAGTTCTTATTTTGCGCAGACCTATCATCTCGCACCGTTGACGAGGTGGTAAGTTTGAGCCTGTTTGGGAAGGCCCCTTCACTATACAGCAAGTTTATGAAGGTGGTGCCTACCTACTTGTTGATGCAAATAGCGTTTACCCAATGCCTGTCATCAACGGGCAGTACTTGAAAAAGTACTATGCCTGAGTCTAGTACTTCACAGGGGAGCCTCCCTACCGCCTGTAGATATCCCTCTGTATATGTAGCTCCTAAAAAGATTCCTCTTACCACGCGATGATTTATCCTCTACCACACGACGTTGCTTAGAAGAGTATGAAGCTATCCTTAGAGGTGATACACCAATATGCCATAGGGATGTCTTATACTTTTGTCTGTGTGCACCCATCATATCGGTGCTATCGCATATAATTTTTAGTATGTTCTCCCCTTTGTAGGGCTTAGTCCCCCCAGTTTCACCTGCCGCCCCAGGTGTGGTCTGGGATATCAAAACCAATAGTTGAGTCTAGTTTTTGAGAGGTGATACTGGCTCCACACCACCCCATGACAGTCAGGTATGATGATGGAGATCCACTATCTCAAATTGAGTTTCTTTCTCCTATCAATCCTCATCTGATAGATGTAGCCCCTAGTCCATTCACATGAGTTGAATGTGATCAAGGATGTTAGAGTTATGGATTTAGACTCTTTTTGAGATAGGATACAGGGTCCACACAATCCCATGGTAGATAAATATGGTAGTGTTGATCCTCTATCCTGATGATGGTTTTAGTTATACATTAATTTCTATACGATTGTGCTCCCAGTTCATTCACATGAGATGAATGTGGTCTGGGTTATCAAAACCATCCACTACCCCCAATTTAAAAATTCATGTGTGATAAAGGAGGGGAGCTCTTAGTAGAGTAACACCGGTTGCCCCTATTGCAGGAGGAACCAGGTAAAATACTCCAAAAGCACAAATTTCCTAGTTCTGTTCATGTGGCGAATATGATCGGGGCTCATTTAAAAAAAAAAGTACACATAAGAGGGAAGCTCGTAGTAGAACAAAAACTCGGTTGCCCGTCTCATAGGAGGAACCCGGTAAAACTTTATAAGAGCTCAAATTCCCCAAAAATTTCACTTTCTCCTCCCTTAAGAGTACTTTGACGATCTCTTCAAGGTTGAGTTTCCACTTAGTTGGTCGATTAATTTATATGATTTTTTTAATGCATTTCTTCATTAGTGATGTAGTACCTTGTGTTTTGAGATGTAACTATCAATATTTTTTGTGCTTAGGTCTTTCTGAGAAGAGATCGCCCCCTGCTGCCCTCTTTTGGCAGTCTACCTCCCATTCATGAACTACTCTGAGCTGCCAGAGTAGTCCTATGAATGTGGCTGTGTTACCTTCAAGTCGCTGTTGACCTCATTTTTGTATGAGGTCACTAAGACCTTCCAGAATCCAGATCCGATCCTAGACCCTAGGATCTACTCAAGACTTTAGGATCCTTCCTAGAGCCAGACCTTAGGAT